TTTTAAGCTTCCCCAAATTTCCACAATACGACGACGCTTCTCTCGCCGTCGCCGGCGACACAAACACTTCCATCTTGTATAAGGTAGGTCTAATCACTCCATTTATATCGCCTCACTTCTATCAGTTTAAGTTTATCTTTGAGCCTTGGTAAGATACTTAAAATAAGTTTATTTCTCTAAAGTTTCACTTTGATCATATCTCTATAGTGATCACCCCCTACCCTGAAATTACAACCTCGGTGTATCAATTTTGTAATTTCTCTGGACTGTGAATTTGATATCTTGATCTCCTGTTTCTATAATTTTGTAACTGTTTTAGGAAAAGGAGTATTGCCTATATAAATATGTCGTTTATTGCTTATTCTTTTAGAATTGTGGTAGATTCATTAGTTTGATTATTGCTAAGCTTAATACAATGTTAGATGTTGTAAGTGAGTTGCTTCTTCTTTATTTGACTTCAGTTATATCTCTGTGTGATGCTCTTATACTCCAATTGCATTCTGGATGATCTTTTTATCAAAATTTCTACTTCAAGATTCGCCTACACCTGCTCGATGAAATGCTTAAGAGAAACTTATGGTTGCTTCTTTATCAATATTAATATCATTATTATTTGTTAATTTAGGTACAATTTTCCGGAAAAATATTTCAAGAGAGAGAGATGAGCTTGTTTCAAAGATGGGCTTACATAGTAAAAGAAGCACTTGACAAAAGCTTTTCAGTTGCCAAATTCTTCTGTGCAATTCATGTCACCAATACCTACCTCTTCTCCACTATGGTAAACTCTAAAGGATCCTTTTGATTGGATGCATGATGAGGTTTCCATTCCATCAAACAAAACAAATATCTTCATTCTATTCCTTATGTGATTCCATCATACCAACCTACTAAAACAATCGTCTACATGCAGGTCCAAGGTCCTAGCAGCTCCCCTTTCAACCTAACGGTGAGATTGTCCTACTTGACAGAATCTCAACCGTTAGGCAAAGTGGGCCCCGGTGATGTCATCATAGTCCGGTCACTGAAAATCCAAGAAATGTTTTCACCAAGAGAATTATTGGCATGGAAGGTGACAGTATCACCTACATTGTGGACCCCACACATAGCGATAGAACGAAACCATAGTTGTATGATTAATCTTTTTTTTATTAAAATTGTGTGCTGTATAAATAAATAAATAATAATGTTTTGGTATTTTTTATGTATAGGTTCAAAAGGACATGTTTGGTTGAAGGGATAAACATTTATAATACTTATGATTCAAGGGATTTTGGACCTGTCCTTATGGACTTCTTCAAGGCCAGGTTTTTTGGAAGGGTAAATTATTTATATTTATTTTGGGTATAGGGTTTAGGGTTTAAGAAAAAATGCTTATTTTTATAAATGTTACAGATATGGCCTACAAGTGCATTTGGATCAATTGGAGGAGACCACAAATTGGTAACCCTGCCTTAAGGTACTTTCTGTAAGGCTTGTTTGTTACACGGGACATGATGACTAACAGCTTTCTAGAGCTATTTTTGGTTATGAGGATTAGGAGGGCATTTTCGTCTTTTGCACGACTGGAGATTGAGAATTATTACCTCTCCATACAAAGCTTTAAGCCTTGATTTCAATAATCAAATACTTTCCTTATCTATTTGAAATATGTTATACCCCTCCCCACTATTTGTTGTTTTTAGAACACATTATAATTGATATTGATATTATTTTGTAAAACTATGTAGTTATAAAAAAGGCAAATTTGATAAAAAAAAGTATAGTACTTTTTTTTTTTTTTCAAAAGTCACCCATAAAACTTGAATTCTAAAAAAAAAACACTATAGTGATTTTTATGGAATTTTACCTTATAAAAATATAATATTTTTAATATTTAATAAATTAGATTAATTAGTCAGAAATTAACAAAAGTTAAATATAAAGTATGATTAAAAAATTTTTTTTTTTTCTAGTTTTTCTTGAATTTTATGTGGTATGTGTTTTGGTTACAGGTTGTGGAGCAAGAGTGACACATTTTTGACTTGTAAAATGATGAATCTTATTGAACAAGGCAGTTTTTTTTGTTTTGTTTTTTTTGTTTTTTTTGAGCTACAAATGGAACATCATTTGTTTGTCGTGGGGGCATATATATTTATTTATTAGCACTCTTCATGTTTGGAATAATACGATTTGGGGTATGAATGTAGACAAGGACATTTATGTCTTTGCACACATTGAGAGTGAGTAGATTGTTACTTTTTTAGTAGGATAAAAGATTATAATTTTTATCTCATTAACGTTAACTCCTGTTTGCTATGATAATGAAGAATCAAGGACTTTGAGTTTGAGCTTACATTGTAGTCTGTTCTATAGCATAAGCGTAGAAATAAAACAAGATGGAGATGAATATCATAACATTTAATTTTCACTTTTATTGGGTTACGCCCTAAATGGATAATGGAGATGAATATCATAACAAGATTATAATTTTTATATTTTCCTGCAACACCGTTGTTTTGGATATGATAACAAGAAAAGAAATTATAGTATAATGTTACAAAATATAATATAATAATTTAATAAAAACATAAAAATGTACAATGTTGTAACAGAAAAAAAATACATATCAAAGAAAAAAAAAAGAGATTGTATTTATATATACAAAAAACCTAAACTATCAAAATCCCTCCACTTTTGTTTTCACCTTTGTTGACTCGACTCGAGCAAGTAAGAAGTTGTTAAATATCGTTTGGTCAACTGAGTCATATCGGACTGCCCTTGATCCCTACATTAAAAAAAAAACAATTGTTCTAGATTCTTCCGGAACATTAACATAAAGATTAAAAAATAAATAAAAAGCATTCGAACCTGATTTTGTGCAGTTGTAATACTAGTCCAATGTTATGGTTGTGTTGTAGTAGCCGGATAGTCACTTACATAAGCAAGTGTTCTAGATTCTTCCGGAACATTAACCAAACAAAGGTGGCAATTCTCTCATACCCCACAACACAAAACCTGAAGGTACGGATGACCTGGACAAACATGGTATCCAAAAGAGTTATAATGCAAGAAATAGCAATGTACTTTCATTGACTTTTTCAAAGTACAATGTTGTAATAAGTAAAAATGAAAGTAGGATGCGAGTTTTGCATATACCTATGAAGTAGTAGACAATGAGTAAAGAGAGCATACAGGCCTCGATCCCCCCCCAATCACAATGATAGAGAACCTGTGAAAATCAATGACGTGGGCCCCACCTACTACATTAAATTAAGACATTGAGGAAAATGGCTGAATGAATTAAGCAGAAAAATACTCAGGGTATATTTGTAATATAGCAACAACTGAACTTGAGGTGAAACAAACAGCAGAAACTATCGCAAGTCCAGCAACCTGAAAAACAGAAAAAATGTAAAACTATAATAAAGACATAATTACACTTTTGGTCCGTGTAATTGTAATTTTTGTAATATCGATTTTTTTGGATATTTTTGCATTTTTCGACCCATCTAAGTTTGGTCCGTGACTTGCACAATGTTTAGAAATGGGTGTTAAGCACGTGTAAAATTACCATTTTGCCCTTCAAATTTTGTACTTTTTTATTGATTATGATTATTATTATTTTGGCGGAGCAAAGGACTTTTGGGGTTCTAGTTAGGGATTGGAGAGGGGGACGAATGAGTATGAGGGGCAAAATGGTCATTTTCATAAAATTAACGAATCGGCTGTTAATTAAATGACCACATACCTTCCATATTTCGGAAGAAGCCCTCTCAGATCTCACTTTACTCATTTTTGATACCAGCACATTCCTGTACATTTTTTTATAAAAGCAGATGAATTCAAATAACAATAAATCAAAGAAATAAATACAAAAAAAAAAAAAATGGAAAAGTACAATGTTAATAAAATAAGAAAAAAAATCAAATGTACAATGTTGTAATAGAAAGAAGAAACAGAATAATACACAAATACGTTGCTATTTCTTGCATAAAGAGAAAAAATTTGTAGCATTAAAATATTTAAAACTAAAAAAATTAAAATAAAAATAAAAATAAAAGTAGCAGATACCAAAGAATGCTGACCATAGTATGATCTAAATGCGCCCTAGGACAAGCATGACAACAGCAAAAGTATCTACATACACCTGCAAGCTTATAAGAAAAAATAGCATCATACTTTGAAATTTATTAATAAAAAATAAAAAAAAAAGTAAATATTAAATAAAACCAATAATTTATACCCTTGCCACAACTGAGGAATCAATAGGATTCTTTCCAAGGCCAATCCAATAAGCACAGCTGATGTCAGCATTACCCAAGTATCAACAAAGTCACCTGTTAAAAGAAGACGAAAATACCCCTGGGTTAAAAAAAGGACAAATTGTAGATAGGGGAGGGGCAAAATCGTAATTATGAATATAACCAATATGACAATTTGTTGAATGATGCCAACAGGGAAGACTCTAATATTGCAACATCTTCTGCGAGTGTAATTATAACCTTCAAATTCGGCTTATTTACTTTCTCTACCAAAGCTTCATGAAACTACCTTCTGATTCATCTTCATCTTCATCATTTGCTTGATGACAAAAGGTCAACCCTACGATTGTTGACCATGATTTTAAAAGGGATAAATCTATCAGATTTCATAATTTCACACACTGAAACATACAGAAAGATAGAAGAAGAAGAAAAGCTGCAAGAAATAGAATCTTGGCAATGCTACAAAACAAATATGAAATACTTTTTTTTTTTTTTTATAATTATCCCAAGATGTGTAGTTGTAAATGTTAAATAATATAAGAATTTCTTGAGTTATAATATAACAACATACCCATAACAACAAAACCACATGAATTTGACCAACAGATCCACTTCTTACAAGCAGCAACAAGAGTTAATATAATAAATAAACACCATAACCTGTCACAAAAAAAAAAAAAAAAGTTTGTTGAAATATAAGGAAATTTAATGTCTTAAAATTAATACAAAGAAAAAGTCTTAAGTATCATACAGTGTTGGAAAAACCAATCATTAGATGAAACACCTGAAATTAGATTTTTAAAGAGTTAGTATAAGTTACATTTGATGACATTGTAAAGTAGAAAAATTTATTTATGTAACAAATAAAATATATTGCGCATATTGGTAGCAAATAACAATTTATAAATGTGTTGCTATTTAGAATGAATTCTCATGAAATCAGTGACAAATAAAAGATATTTAAAGGGTATTACTTACTTTCTGTCGAGTCCAACCCCTTTGTGGATTCCTAGAATGAATTCTTATCAACTGACGCAAGAAAGTACAAATATTAGTATTAAAGAAAAAATCTTAATTAGATTTAAGTATGAAATTTAAATAAAAGAACATCAATCAGAAACTTTTTGATTTACGACTATGCAGTGAGTTTATATTAGAAAGAACTACAAAAAGTCAGAATGGCATATTCTCATTTCTGATTCTGATTTCTCATTTTTTTTAAAAACAAACACTCCCTTAACTCCTGAAGAATCAGCATCTTAATGTACTAAACAGTTACAGAAGAATGCTTTCTTATGCAGCTCTAGCTACTAGTTACTTCCACAACGATATAGGAACTACATCTTACAGCATGATGAAGTGAAGTTAATTCTTCATTTCTTCTTAAGGGTAAGCAAACAAATCCCATTGTCAACCAATTCACGAAAAGAAGAACTCGTAACTCAGAGGCGATTAAAAGCAATTTACCCTATGTGAAAATTGGCATTACTTGACATATTGGAAGTGAATTTTCGATTTCTTCAATCCAAACACAAATCATTTGAGAAATGGAGAGTTATAGCAAACCTAATAAACCCAATTTGAAAAGTCAAGTAGAGATTGATTGAAATTTGAAAAGAGAAGAGACCTGGTAAAATGCAAGGAGGGCAATAGCGACATCGAGAAAAGCAAGAGCAAGATTGACAGCCACTAAGGGCTTTGAGTAACAACCAGGCTCTGTTAACTCCCCTATCATCATCTCGCTCCTCAAGGCATGCGGACCCCAGTATTCGAGAGCCTTCTTTGTATTCATCAATGAAGAATTGGAGTCTCAGCCTCTCAGGGCTTGGGTTGATGGAGAAGTGTAGGGTTAGAATTTGAAAAACAAAAATCTTGTTGTTGCTGCTGTTTTGCTGAGGTACCTATCAATGGCGGATCTGCTAATTGATAATCTGCTTTATATACCACTACTTACTGTAAAATGAAATGTCTTTGGTAGTGAGTGCATCTTCCGTATATTTGCACACGTATGTAATGATGGTGACGTTGTGTCTCTGTCGTCATATTTTGAACCGTTTGGTTTTATGAAATCCTCAGGCCTTCCGTACCCGGTTTTCATCCAACCCGGTTCATGTATTTATTAAAGGGATATATTCTCTAAAAAAAAAAAAACAACTGTTTTTTTGGATGTTATATTTTGGCCTTATTCTTAAAATTTTATAGTTTTTTTATACATATTTTAAAAATTCTTTTTAACTATGTTTGAAATGTCAATTTCGAAGTGTGGAACATTATCTTACTAATATTAGACACTCTGTATGGTATATATTTTTCATTATTATTTTGTTTAATTTTTTAGTTTGTTGTAATAAGAAGTTTTTTTTTCTTCAAAATTTCCATAATCGTCGTCGGATTTCATACTTATTCTTGAAATTCCGAAGTTTCTTCAAACTCAATACAAAACACATAGATTTGAGCGGGTAAGCGTTTATTAAATGAAATTTTTAATTAAATGAAGTTCTATAATCTTTATTAAAAAAAAATAAGTTATAAAAAAAACTTTAAAATGATATTTGTGTCCTATTACATAATTTACTTTCCAATTCATTTGACAAATTTGCAAACCAGCAGAAACATATTTTTATCATGTCAACTAAACACATTACATATCCTAATTCTTTTGATAGATTTTCATTTCTTCCAAAAAAAAATTCTACAAACGACACGTTCCCTTAAAGTTTTGGATGATCATTTGAGACTTTGAAAAAAAAGAGAGAAATTATGTGAAATATTGAGGGCATTAATGTCGGGGAACACTTATTTTCAAATTGAGAATCATTAAGAGTGTCCAATCATATTGACTAACTATCGAGCATTGAAGATTTAACAAAATTCCTTAACTTCATCGCTGAATTTAAACTCGTTCATGTGATCCGTAACCGGCATATCTTCCTGCATCTTCATATTCACCAGAGATGGAATCAAGAAAATTTTTATTAGTTGTAGAGGGTTTTTTTTGTACTATTGGATAACGTCGTGATTAGGCCAAACAGTGTCTTCTTGTTAATGAAAACCTAACCATCCCAAGTGTTGTCGATCTAACAATACCTGATCCTCTTGCTTTATCGATTCATGTTTATTTTCTGATAATGGTTGATCAGTGGCGGATCCATAACTAAATATAAGTGGGGTCCATTTTCATAAAAAATATATATAAAAAGATAAAATTCAAATTTTTTTTTTGGTTTTTCAGGTAAATGAAATGTCAATTGGTGCATTTTTAATGTACAAATAGGTGTTAAGGAGGGTGTTGTTAGTAAAATATGATTTTTGAAGGGTTTATTAGTAATAAAAATGGTGGACCCACTTCTAAGTGGGGTCCATGCACCCCACTCGGGGTTTGCATGGGGTCAACATGTTGGTTGCATCCGCCATGTGGTTGATGCATATAGTTTTTTCTTGTAGAGATAGTCTTCTGCATCTTCCAAAACCAAATAAAAATGCAAAAACATGACAAAAGAATTACGTGATTCACATTATTAGTATAATTGTGTTTATGTCCTACCGACAAAATAAAGATATTTATTATTATATAAAGTGGAAAGTTTACGATTACATTGAGAACTATACACAAAGCGAGGTATAGACAAATAAAAATACATGTACCAATATGGGACCCTTGACAAATGTCCCCTTGGTTTGCTATTATCATATCCTTCACATTCACCATTTCAAATATTGTGCCAAAAGCAATGAGTCTCCATCCACATCTCAAAATAATATGCAATATTAGTATCTATTCAATATATTTTGACAATTTTTTTAAACACAATAATACGTTAAAGTTAATGTATAGTCAGCTATATATTATAACATCTATAATCAGTGCAATAAATAATAAAATCATAAAATAAAGTTACATATATAATATAACATCTATAATTTGATAGGTTATATATAAATGGAGGGGAGTATAATTGACGGTTGACAAGTATCAGATTGATATTGTACACTGATATTTTATCTTCGAGACTAAGTGGCACTATTCCAATTTCCACGTCAAATGCAAGACTTCCAGCTTGTGGAATTTATGTAATGGGAAAGCACTTACAATAATCGACCTCTGATTGAGTAATATATAACCAACTTCATGCTCATGTGACTAAACCCACTTAAAAATCAACAATGGTGTTCAGAACCTTTGTCCTTGTATTTTTCCTAGTACTTGGTGTTCTATCTGCAGATTCTAGCTTAAAAGATGAAGTTGATGCTTTGAAACATTTCAAGAACTCAATCACAGATGACCCAACCGGTGCACTCCTGGATTGGAATGCTGATTCCATCCACCACTGTAACTGGACCGGAATCCAATGTGATGATGTCTCACAACGTGTAGTTTCCTTTTCTATTCAGCAAACACAGCTCAAAGGCCAAATCTCTCCTTTTCTTGGAAACCTTTCCAGCCTCCAGGTTGGTCAATTTGACGTACTTAAGTATTAGCTTAAACTCCATCACAGGTGTAATTCCTTCAAGCATCGGGTCGCTTCATAATCTGCTAGATTTGTCTCTTAGTAATAATCTTCTTGAAGGGTCTATTCCATCAAGCATCACAAACTGCACTAATATGCGTTGGATAGATTTTGCTAGAAATAGGATGACAGGAGAAATGCCTCAGGGTTTAGGGAAGTTGTCAAATCTTACATATCTAGTTGTTAGTGACAACAAAATGCCAGGAAGAATCCCGGATGATATCTTCAATTGTTCAAGTCTTGTGATCTTAGATATCGCACATAACAATTTCAGTGGGTTGTTAAAACCGGGTACCGGTAGACTTTCTAATCTCCAAATTCTGCAAATTCATGACAATTCCTTTTCAGCCCCCCTCCCAGGTGAAATCGGAAACCTAACTAATTTGATGTTGTTAAACTTGGGACAAAACCATTTTTCGGGTACGATTCCTGTAGAATTCTCAAACATTTCTTCCCTTCAAAGCCTTTTGCTTGGTAACAATAATCTTCAAGGAGAGATTCCAGATGAAATCTTTGAGCTCAAACAGCTTACAGAACTGTACTTGATGAACAACAAATTTGTGGGTTCTATTCTGAATTCTCTTTCAAAGCTAGAGCAGCTTTCTCGGTTGGATCTAAGTGGAAACAGGTTTAACGGATCAATCCCTGATAGTTTAAGAAAACTTAACAAGTTGATTTCCATAGACCTCTCACACAACTGCTCACAGGGTCGATTTCAGGGTCCGTGATTGCAGATATGAAAAATACACAGATCTTTCTCAACTTCTCCAACAATTTTCTTACAGGAAACATCCCAAATGAATTAGGCGAGCTGGAGATGATACAAGCCATTGACATCTCAAAAAATAATCTGTCAGGAAGGATTCCGGTGACGCTTCAAAGATGCAGAAACTTGAGAAGTCTTGATGTGTCTGGAAATCAGCTTTCAGGTCGTGTTCCAGAAGAAATATTCCCTCCTCTCGATCTGCTTTCCAGCATAAACTTTTCAAAAAATCAGTTCGATGGAGAGATCCATGGAACTATGGGGAATTTGACCTATCTTACCTCTATTGATCTTTCACGCAACAAATTCAAGGGTTTGATTCCGGAAAGTTTAGGCAACATTTTGGATTTGAAAAAACTCGACATTTCTTTCAATCAATTAGAAGGTCGTGTTCCCCATAGTGGTATTTTCAGAAACATAAGCGCAGTTGCATTAGAGGGAAACCCATCTCTGTGCGTTGCCAACAACACCAAATTATGTGCCACCCAAACTCGATCAAAGGTTGTGTTGATGTTTTCAATACTCGGATCAGTTGCATTGCTTATTGTATTCATTTTTGTAACACTATGTTGTGGCCATGTTAGAAAAACGAAAGTCAAAGCGCCTGACTACACCCCAGGGTTGACTCTCAGAAGATTTGATAGAAAAGAACTGGAAGATGCTACCGACAACTTCAGTGAAGGAAACATTTTGGGTACAACTAGTTTAAGCACTGTGTACAAGGGTAGACTATAAGATGGGAGGATGATAGCTGTAAAGATTTTGAACATCGCCCAGTTTTCAGCTGAATCTGACAAGAGCTTTAACAAAGAAATGAACACATTGGGGAAACTGAGGCATAGAAATCTAGTGAAGGTACTTGGCTATGCATGGGAGAATGGGAAGCTAAAGGCTTTGGTTCTTGAATACATGGAAAACGGTAATTTGGATAGGATTATACACGACTCTGGGATTGATAGATCAAGACGGGATTTGTCTGAAAGAGTAGATGTTTTGGTGTCTGTAGCCAGAGGATTGGTGTACTTACACTCGGGATATGATTTCCCGATAGTTCATTGTGATTTGAAGCCTTCTAACATACTTCTGGATGAAAAGTGGGATGCTCATGTAAGTGATTTTGGCAAAGCTCGAATTCTTGGGATTTGTCTGAAAGAGTAGATGTTTTGGTGTCTGTAGCCAGAGGATTGGTGTACTTACACTCGGGATATGATTTCCCGATAGTTCATTGTGATTGAAGCCTTCTAACATACTTCTGGATGAAAAGTGGGATGCTCATGTAAGTGATTTTGGCAAAGCTCGAATTCTTGGAGTTCATCAACAGGATGAAAGCAACATCTCTTATGCTTCCACATTTCAAAGGCACCATTGGTTACTTAGCACCAGGTAACACATTCTAAATTTCTAACTTGTAAGTATCTACAACTGTATTATTACCTTTCACCTTGAATGTCACACTAATGCACTTCTGTTTTTAACCAGAGTTTGTATATATGACAAAACTTACAACAAAAGTGGACGTATTTAGCTTTGGAATAATAGTGATGGAATTTATGACAAGAAAAAGACCGACATATGTCCTTACTGAAGAGGAGGGGATTTGGCTATACGTGGTGGAATTTATGACAAGAAAAAGACCGACATATGTCCCATAGTCGAGAATTCAGGTTTCTTCCATGGTACAATTAA